AAAGTGTTACACATAAATAACTCAATTACACTTTAGTTTTTGCATGGATTAAATAAATGAGAGTCAGGCTGTTGCTGTTTCCTGATTTGTGCCAAGCTAAACTAATGGGTTGTAAGATAAAATCACTGTATGACAGAAATCAACCTTCTCAAGCTTTCTGACATTTTTTAAAACACAGCAATAATTTGAGAGATAATTCACACAGTGATAAAGCCAGCCAGTTTTTCAATGAAATTTGAATTTTAGAGGAGAGGGGGCCATGTTTAGTGTAGGAGAAACGTAGGCAGTACGGCTCTCACAGGAATGTTGTGATCTTTGCGTCCTTTGTGTGAGGAAGCAACGTGGGCCAGGTACTGGATGACCTTCTTCGTGTTCTCTGTCTTGCCAGCGCCTGATTCACCTCTGAAAAGTAAAGACAAATACACATGAGTAGAGTGAGAAAATGTGAGCCAATACATGACAAGGGAGAAACAAACAGGTTTTGTTTCTGACCTGAATTACAAGGTTTCCCTTGTGAAGCACAGCCACATAACAGGAAATATTATGTATGAGTTGTCCACAGTTTACCAAGGTACAGAAAAAACAACCCTAAAACCTTAACCAAGATAATGTTCACTCATTTTTATTATGGTTAAGAGTGATTTGATGAACTCCAAGGACACAATTAATAGAAACAAAACAGAAAACAGAGAGAGTGACTAAACATCAGGCTATCTTGTTGTTTTTGTAAAAATCAATCCATTTGTTTGTCAGTCTGTTTTGCTAGAGAACCCTGTGGTTTGGAGAGCCAGGCTCCAAAGTTTCCAGACCCCACTTTTGGGCTGTCCTTAATGATAGCTGTGTTCAGGCACGGCCATCCGCAACTCCCACAGTCGGGTCCTGGAGCTCAGAAAACCAGGGCCAGCAGTGAAAAGAAGCCAGTGACACTACATCCATCTACATACCAGTGGCTTTAGTCTAACTCACTATTAGCTGCGCACTGCAGTTTTAGCTGCAACACTAGAACTGCACAGGCGAGTCCTCGAGTGCAGTGTACGAACATATGAATATAGGTCAAGCAGGTACTCATACAAGTGTGGTTTGATGTCTTCATTGTTTTACTAGGAAGACATGAATCCTCTTTGAATAAGTCTCCCAGAAATCATTCATTGGAATTCTCGTATATTCTCTCTTTCGCCAAGCATGTGGTTCAAAAGACCTTTGACTTTGGGAACTATTTTTATGTCTAGCTTCTCATTTTTTCACAGATCTCAGTGCTAGAGAGTCGAACTAGATTCTGAAAACTTAAATGAGAGATTCTTCAAGGTCTCAGTCTTCCTGGATATTCCCTCTCCTGTCCTATGATATGTACCATATGGACATTTTGTAACACAGTGGCTTTTGAATTGGCGCTACCTAAAGATGAATCCAATTAAAAGAACATTTCTGTGGCTTGTTTTCATGCAGTTAGACCGTACTTTTACAGTCAACTCCAGTGACTGGAAAACATCATACATAGTTAATGCATGGTTTCTTGCCACATTTGACCATTTATACAACAGTATGCATCATTACATACCAGACGCTGACTGCTCACACAAGGCCTGGATCTCCAAATGTTATTCTAAACTATGCACTATATAATTCTGTGCTATGCACTGTTATGCTTAATGGCATGGTGGCCTTTCAACTGGATCAAAGTGATCTATATTACAACAGAGCTGCATAAATGTAGGTCATAAGCAACCTTTTTCAACTGTGTTTCTTCAGGAGTAATTTTCCTTAGAGCAGGAAGGAGAGGAGGAGATGTTTCTCTAAACTGGCTGACAATCTAAACCGCAGGTGTCGAACTCCAGGCCTTGAGTGTCCTGCAGGTTTTGGATGTGTCCTTGATCCAACACAGCTGATTTAAATAGCTAAAATACCTCCTCAACATGTTTTGAAGTTCTCCAGAAGCCTGGTAATGAACTAATCATTTGATTCAGGTGTGTTGACCCAGGGTGACATCTAAAACCTGCAGGACACCGGCCCTCGAGGCCTGGAGTTCGACACCTGATCTAAACTGTGGGGCTAAACTCTTAAAAGGGCGCCTTTTCACCAACAGGGGGTGCAGTTTTCTGAATTTAGGGCATACTTTGCAACTGCTTCTCATTTGTTCATTGGCAGCATCAAACCCCAAGAAAGACAGTGGCACTTAATTACCCTCTGCCAAAGAAGATGAAGGCCGGCCACCAAACCACACTCATAACTCCCTCGGTATTGGGTAGAGCCGCTGTAAAAGCCCAGCATCCGCAAAAAGCTATTTGAAACCAATTTTTAAATAGAACATGGCAGAATAAAGGGAGCTGGCCAAATGACTCAGGACGAGAGGAAGATAAAAAGACACGGGAAAAAAATACTATAAATAATCCTCGTAAAGTACTCATAACTGTAAAAGATATTTATATTTAAAGGCATTTCAAGGACAAGCGGACTTTATATAATGTAACTCTATTAAGGTGAAGCGATATAATCCTTGTCTTGAGACAGTTTCATTTTCCAGTCCATGAAGCTGGTTGATCTCTAGAACCACCTTAAAGACCAGTTCAACCATCTGCCCTAAGAAAGAAATTAAGACAAAAGTAGAAAAGAGAAGTTAAGAGTTGCAGTACTCACGTGCAAAGAATTGATTGGTCCTCACGGTCTGTTCAGAGAAAACAGAAAAAGAAAGAAAGCATCTCTTGTTTAGTCATTCATTTTGACTTACAGAGATAGCATTCAATGGCTAAGCTAAACATACAATGGAACATAACAGTTTAATAGTTTTCACCAGGCTAATACTGGAGCTATCCTGACTGCGAGTACATACACGTACATAAACACAGCTTGCATTTTCCTGAGAATTTCCTGAGAATAACAGGACAAACATACTGCTCCGTGAACACTGAGGTTTATAAAGGAGGTGTGTTAGGAATGTATTTTTCACCACAGCCAGCAGGGAACTGACATGCTTATCATCAAACAGAAACTCTGGGCTAATTTAAAGACTTGAAGACACGACATGTTTGGTAATATGGCAGGTTTAATCTTCCAGATGACCAGGCAGCAAATCCAGACTTTTTTAATATGATCTTGTGAAGAGATTTAAAATTTTTAAGAGATGTTAACTAACACTAACAATTTACTCTACAATACCCTTTGTATCATATATGATACATGAGTTTTTGAGACCTCTATCTCATCAACATGATCAATATTTGCCATAATTTCAAAATGTTATGGACAAAACTCTGCCTAAAATTAACATTGTTGTTAAAAGAAAGTTGCCAAAAATGCCCAATGTATCAAATGTGATAGAAAAAATATATAATAAATATATAATTAAAATATATCATATACAACATGATACAGCAAAAAAAAAAAGAAGCGGATTTTGTTATAAGGGTTAATAAAAATCTCATTTGATGGGTTGGGTCTTACAGGGTTACTCATGTTTTTTCAGATATTTTTTTCAATTTTCTGACATTCAAGTCATAATCTAACCCTAAACCTAAGCAATGAGTATATGTTATTTTTATATTCATTAAATTGTTCTCCCAAGTCTTGACAAATGGGGAAGAAAAAGAATGACGTTTTTGCCTTTTTCCAAAATACCATAAAAAAGAAGAAGAATTTATTGTGAACCTTTCATAGTGTCAAAAACTAAAATGAAGTACAGAAGCTGAATCTATTTAAAGTCAAAACTGATGTACGGTGTATTATTTTTAGCCATTTCACCTAGTTTAAATAATTACTTTAGGTATCTAATGTATGTAATGTATCTACTTCAAACATTTATCAGTTTCATAGCATACTACACTTTCTAGGAATCTTCCCTGAGGTTTTCTAAGCTACAGACACCTGGTTTGGTGAAACTGAGGCCTTCGTGACTACAGGCCAAGAAGCATACTTCATCTCAAGAGACTGAGAACAAGAAATGATGAGAAAAAAACTTTAAAAACCGCAGTCATCTCTGAAGAAACAAACGATTTGCAGTAAAAAAAGATTTTTCTTGTTGTTTTAAAATGATAGCAAACCATAATTTTTCCTGACACTTATTTAGAGCCTCAAGTACAACTTCAAATATACAAAGATCACTCACCATTTACTAGTTCATACGAGAGCAGCCACTTAATAAAAACCATGCTCTCTAAGTAGCTGTTTACTGTGACTAATACCTGCAGTCATAACCTAAAACTAAACCTAAAACCATCTGCTTTGTGTACCATGTGAAGAATGAAGCCTGACATCATCGCTTTGCCCTTTAGGAGACAGAAAACACAGAAGAAATTACCTCATCACATGTGCCTATGACAAAGGCCAGGGGGTAAAAACGTGCACTGAGCCGAGGAGCAGCTGCAGCATAAGGGTGGATGCCTTACTGCTAACAAAATATCTATAACACACATTTAATTATGACACGGGGACAAAACATGTAATTTTATTCTTATTTATTGTTTTGACATATGACTTGATCAAGGAAGCATCTGAATAAATTATGTTTTTAAAAGTGAAACTGAAAGGAACGTATCACAACTACAAATGCTGTGTAGTTGTGCTGGGGAAACAGCAGCAGGTTTACTGTTAGACATCACAGAGGGTCTGTTTTGCTGTGGCTACATTAGATGCTTGCAGGTAAAGTCCTGTTTTTCTCACATGTTTAAAGTACTCTTGTTGAGTGGTTCTTTTTTATGTGTGAATAAAGCTGGTTCACAAAAACATGGCGATTAACTAAAAGCTCTAATGGATAATTACAGTGGTCTCTCTAAAAGCCATCCGCTCCGCAGAGATGATAGTTCAGCTTATAGGACTTGGCACAGAAATTTACTCACACCTTGTTGACATGACTCAGTTTTCACAGGTGGCTCAAACAGTCTTTAAGGTGTTATATTTCCCTAGAGAAATGTCCTTTTGTTGTGTACTAAAGCGGAAACTTCCTTTAAGTGACAAAAAGCAGGTGGCAAATGAGTTTATGCGAGTGTGTTCATGTGAAAACATTAAAAGGGGATTCTCTTTTCTCTCCACGGAAAATCCGCTTTGTTTGATTATAAAAAAGAATTACGGATGTAAATGTAGGGCAGATAAGATGCAACACAAACATTCAAGCCTAATGTATGCAGATATAACTGGCATCATCTCCCCTGACAGTCAGGCTGCCTTTAAACTCGGGTCAAAGTTTGATAACTCATCCTGCCTGTGTTTTATAGTCTGAGACCTGATGCTCATCAGATTTACCCAATATTGGTTTAAACAAGCCCAAAAGTCCCATCGGACACTCACGCAACAGCACATAACCCCTCATGAAAATTAAAACCAAACACATACTAACTACACAGCTTCTGAGCAACATCAGGTGTTTACAGGTTTAAACAGGGGAGGCGCATGACCTCATATTTCTGAAATGAACACCTGATGGCAATTTGAACAGAACAATCCCAAAAAATTCAGCGTGAGGTTGGATTTTTGTGTTTAAATGATGCATACAGTACAACTGTGACAAGACCAAATGGCAGTTTATGACCTAAACACCATGTGCCGGGTTAGTTCCCAGAAACATAAGTTCTGATACACAGAAATTAAGTTTTGTTCTTCTGGCAGCAGCTTGTCAGTAGTCAGTAGTAATACAATCAGACCCAGATATTTTAAGATATTGCTGTATGTGTCTGCTAACGTTAAAAAAAGAAAAAGAATAAAGCAAACTCTGCACCTGTCAACTGATGTGATCCAACACAAAAAGGCAGACAGGCTTTTTTTCTGCACTGTGTCTTTATAAGGTAACAGATGGGGCTGATGGAAGTGGTGTTTAGATGTGTGAGTGTGTTTGTGGACAAGCAACATATACACAAGCTATCAGTTCTGTCAGATGGAAAGGGGATAAAAATAACGAATCTTGTTTGCACAGGAAAAAAAAGGGATTGGCAGACACACACAAACACACACAACCTTGGACTTCCACTAGAGTCGCAGTCACTTCATTCTCTGCTTATCAGACATCTATTTACCCATCACACCTTTGATGCTCTCCTGTGATTTTTATCCAGCCATGTATTTTTCAGTCGACATCCTACACCTTTCAGCTTTTCCACTGATTGACAAGCATTCCTTTAATCTAGTGTCCTCTTTCTGATTTCTTTCCTCTGTGAGGCCACACAAAATAAAGGTAACACTGACTTCACCTGCCAGAGGGGAGCTTTGCACAAAGCCTCATGTTCAAGCACACAGTGATCCATCAAGTAGAGAGTATGCAACAATATATCTGCTGCATTAATGATGGTATAACAATACGGCTACTCAGTGACACTAGATACATTTTGTGTGTATCACCATTATTATGCCTAGACTCCTGGAAGTCTAATGAGTGATAAAGCTATGCATGTAGCGCTGGTGTGTTAATAATTTTATCTATATTTCCATTGTGTATCCACCTCTAGTACAGAATCAAACTACAAATGGAGAATGTCCCTCTAAAACGTGTGCCTCAATGCTGTAACCAGCACATTTCAAAAGGTGAAACTTTTACTTTGAAGTTGAACATTCTGTTTTCACAGTTTCACTACTGCTCATAATGTAGTCTGCAGACAAGTTGGTGTTTTCCATGCAAACTACAGGATACAATGTGTCAACGACCAAAGCAATCACAAGGAGGTTTCCACTGAACCACTGTATACCTCTTTGCAACCAATTTTCACCTTCTGACTGCCAGCAACCATTCTCCAACCAGGTGAGAAAGTATGCCTTGTGACCTAGCAACTGGTAGCTGCCAGATATTCGCTGACTGCTCTCTAGGCCTGTGTGAGTTTGGGTTGCACTGAGTGTTAAGACTGCATGTAGTAAACTGTTAGAAAGATTATGTGTCACAGTTCTGGGTCAGTTTGACCCAGTATTTTGAGTTATGTTTTGGTGTGTTTTTTGCAATATGGATTGTTTTCTTATTCTCTTGTGGTGCTCTTGTTGGTGATGATGATGATGATTATGAATCTATGTTTCAGTTATTCTTGTTTCGGGATTAGTTCTTAGGTTTTGTGTTCCCATGTTTATTGCAGGTTTAGTTCAGTGTCTAGTCTGTCTCTCAGTGTCGTGTCTGCGTCTTTGTTTAGTGGTTTCTTGTTTCCTGTTTTATTGTGAAAGTCTATGTCTTATGATAGTGTGTGCAGCTTTGCTCCCCCTGTCTCGTTAGTCCAATCCCTCCCAGCTGTGTCTCCCTCCTGTTGCCCATTCCCTGATTACCAACCTGTGTATATAAGCCCTGTGTTTTCCCGTGCTCGGTGTCGCATTGTACCATCAGATTATGCCTGTGTGTTTCTTCATGTTTTGTCTTCATGCCAGCAATAAAGCTGTGGTTTTGAGTTGCATTTTGTCTTCGAGTCCTGCATTTGGATCCTCATCTCCGTCTGCCCGCACACAGAGCCCTGACATTATGTGCATACTATTTAGTAGTCTATTTGTTATAACGTATGTTCATTGTTTCACTGTAAATGAAATGTTTGCGCTTTTGTTACATTTTAGTTGTGGTCTTCTATAAAAATCACCTGAAACAGTTTACTGTGACCTGTACTATCTGAATGAATTAGTGGGTGCATTCACCCTGCCTCTGCTGCCACCTTGGCCTTCTTGGCAGCTCCTGTTTCCTAAATCACCACAGCAACCAACGGCAGGGTCATATTT